AAGTGTAGTAAGAAAAACTCGTGAGTAAACAGCCCAGACAGACAGGAAAGGATTGAATCCGTTCCTCTCCTCTGAAAATTAAAACTCTCGTACCTGTAACGCTCACGAAGAGCAGCACCAGCGTCTTCATCTTTGATTTCTAAAATGTGCTTCAGTATTCCAGGTTGAGACCGTTTCAAATGTTGTCTCTCTGCTCTCTGACTTGAACAATAACTTGATTCTGTTCTTCCGATCTTTTTAAACAGCCCTTATCCTGCCTCCTATTTTTTATTTCTCCATGTAAATCATAAACCTTATAACCCTGACCTGATTTTGTCAAAGGGCCACATATTTTTCCAGTTTTTGCTTCCTCTTGGCATTGGTTCAGACACAGTTATTAGGGGAGAAAGTTTACACTTTCTGAATAAAGACAAAAACTCCTGCATGCACAAACTGATTGATAACACAAACTCGGAGTATTTGGAGCTTTTAAACATTAGCATTAAAATGCTAGTTGTTTATAAAGACTGCAGAAAAAAAATGAGTCTTGTGCAAGAATTGGAAAGATTTTGACATAAAATTCAGAATATTCTTTTAGAAATTTGTATGAAAATAGTGATTTTTAAAAAGGACAACTACGGTAATTTTGATCATAACTTCCAAGGAAGCAAATCGGTTTACTGGTAATCTGAAGCTGGACTCTGACCTTCAAATAAAAAATAATAATTAACTACCTGTCTCGTGGCCTGACTATCTTTATTCCTTGTGTTTTTGTTGCCACAAATCCCGTAGAGATAACCGGCCAGGAGTATGTGAACGCTGCTGGTTAAAAGTTTCTAATGTTGAACTGTTCGTTTTTAGTTTCTCGTGGGCATAAATAGGATGCAACTTAGGTTAATGTCTACATTGAGGATGGATGAGGACCCAAATTAATCTTGTCATGCACTGTGAGGCGGATAGTAAGGTGTTTTGGGGTCATCAAATAACATAAATAACAACAAACATTCCAGGTAGATCTGGTATAAAATAAAGGATGAGTAAGCTGAATTATTACTGTTAAGTACGGTGGAGGATGCGTGATGCTGTGGGCTTGTTTCACTTCTAAAGGTCCTGGAAACATTATTAGACTGCACAGAAATTTCAACAAAGCCCACTTAGTCCAGTAAATCAAAAAGTTCTGACACAACTTAAACCTTTGCTTTTTAAGGCTTACATTTCAACCTCTTTACCAAAAATAACTGTGTTAGCACCACATGCAGGTGTGTGATAAAGATTTAAAAGAAATCTTACAAATATGCTTGCTCACAAATTCTCTGCAAGGAAACATGTTACTATTACATCCAATTTATTTTCATTTATGCAAGATTACTTTGGCAAAAAACATCGAAATCTGTAATATAGTTAAAGTAAGTACTAAATTATGTTTTTGTTTTTTTTTAGAGATAAAGACAATTAAATTGAGTCAAAATTTTGTTTTTAAGACAGAGTTTAAAGTTCTGTTGGGGAAAAAAACAACAACTATAATTTGGGCTCCAGAGCGTTTCGTTTCAGCAAAGTTTAATGAAGGCGGCTGTCGAAGCGACGACTGAAGTCGCACTGCTGGTTTAAACTCAACTCTTAGACATTTCATACTACGAGCAGCTTTACCTCAAGACAGTTCATTTATGCCAAACATGTCAAGTGAGCGGCGGACAGGGAGCAGTGTGGCACACATGTGTCTGTGTCAGTGTGTCACACTGTGTGTTACATGACATCAGCGCGTCCTGCTCAGAGCCGAACAGCTGGGACTGCTGATTGTGAACAGGTGCTGCAGCTGAGATTTTAGCTGACAGCGTTTCACTGTCCCTCTCTTGTGTGCGCCTTCGCACACGTGTCGGCGTGTGGGGCTTATAACCGTGTGTCTTTGAGCGTGCATGTGGCCACAAGTGTAAGCATGTGTGCACACGAGCAACAATGTGCTGTTGTGCGACTGCTGCTGGTTAGAAACCTTATAGCCAAGGACGCGGAGGCTCAACGGCAGCTGTCTCATCTCCGCACCTCATCCGACACTCGACACATGGAGGAGACCTTCTGTGACATCCCTGCTCGCTTATAGTTGGAGGGGGCTGCTCTCTGTGTGCTTTAGGATAATCAAAACAAAATGTGATAACATTTGTTGTTTCTCAAAACGGGGCTGTCGGCTTGCAGAATTTGTCGCACAAACTCCCCCAGCAACATGTCCCGCATGGAGCGTGTCGGTATCAAGCGCGGGGCCTGGTTAGCAAGATGGAAATCAATAAAGATGCACGTGAAAGTAAACTGCCTGAGCATGTCCTGCTGCTGGAACATGGAGAGTGGAGCAATGTGGATTTCAGAGTAAGGACTGGAGATGGTTTCAGCTGAAGTTGTTGACTTGAGGCAGAAAATGTTGTCAAAGTTAATAAGACTAACTTTAAAAGTTACAGAAACCTAATCAACCTCAAAGGGTCACTTTGCCTCATACTTATAGTGACCTACATTATGATTTTTCTCAATATATCAGAGTAGATCCTTGTTATTAGACAGAAAACTCCTCATACTTATATAGACTTGCATGAACTTTTAGCTTAATATTGTCAATGAAAAAAAAAACATTTTCACCTTATTTGTTTATGTTTAATAGCTGGATACTAAACTCACAAATCTGAGGAAAAACTACATTCCTCAAGGCGTCATTTGCCACTTTTATTAAAATTTCTACAAACACCCTCACCAAGCTAAGATTATAATCCATAACAACGTACCAATATGCCGACTGGTTTTCTGCTGTCAGAGGAAACATTTGCTTAGACAGTCGGGCCCATCATGTAATCATGTAATTACAAAAAAAACGAGAAATAAATAAATCCACTGGTCTGAGCATTCAGTGTCACGTAATGTTGGTGATTTTGTTTTTTCTTCCAGTTTCTTTGTGTGAATGCTACATGAATGTTTAACTGGATCAAACAGAATCACACCGTATGACGAACGTGTTGGATGTTTTGACACGAAAATTGTGGTTTTGTGAGAAATTGCAGAGATTTACTGAAGGGTTTCCATACGCGTCTTCTGTTCCACCTCGCCAGCCGTGGGAAGCTGTGCTCACATTTGATGTGCAGCATAAAGGAGGCATTTCACAGATTCACAATGGCGTCATGGGCTTCAATGATGACTCAAATTCCAAAATCAGGTGTGTGTGGGAGTGTGTGCTAAACCACAACCTTCATGATGAATCACGAATTTAGGTAAGACTTGTAAAATCTCCTCCTGTGCTCACCTCTCACTTAGTCAGCTTAAGGCAGTGCAAGGGGTTCATCATTACAAATGTAGGTTGTCTAAAATTTAAAAATAAAAAGAGAACATTGAATACGCTCAGAATGCCGTTTAAGTCATTAAGTCCAATTTTTGGACTGGCGAAAGGTAATGTCTTGTGTGATGGGACTATGTCCAGAGCCTGGTCCGTCGATTACCATCTCTGGGAGCTCGAACCAAATAAATTTCACCCACAGGGAAGTTGTTACTCTCCTGTCTCTGGTGGCCAAACTTCAGCTTTTCCTGGAGTGGAAGTCCTAGAATGTTTTTGTGAAGTTAGAGAAAATTAAGTGCACACTGAGACTTTTTTCCAAAAGTAATTACTTTTTTAAAAATTTCTTTCCAGATTTAGGGCGCTAAAGTGAGTGCTTTTGGTGTAGGGTTGAGCCATGGCAGCGGGAGGAAGGTGGGTTATGGCGGGATCGCATGTTTTTCTTCATATTTATTTTTGTTGTTGCTCTCTTATGTTTTTGATGTTTAAAACTCTCACAAATATCACAGCACTTTTCTTAGGTGCTGTGATATTTTGTGAAATGTTATGAAAAACCAAGAGTTTTCAAAAGCAATTTGAAGAAAGAAAACCTGTAAATTCTTGTAGATTCAGAGAAACACTCATCTGCAGGCAGGAACAAACCAAGCTAAATGTTGCAGCTTTAAATAAAAAAATATATAAAAAATGCTGAGCGATGATGTTCCAGTCATGCATTTAGTAATCAGGTGTTTGATTTAAGGGGAATAAAGGTGTTTCTGTCAAAACAAAATAAAAAAAAGTGATTTTACAGAAATGTTTTTTACCTGTTCTTTTCTTTTATTGCATTACATTATGTGAATTTCAAAGTATTGCTTAAACTGATGTGATATAAAATATCCATTTATCCAAACATGTTTGAAAAACACATTTGTCATGATGTGTGGTTGGGGGTGCAGTGAGGATGTACGCCAAGGACCCAGGTTGTAGAAGAAAATGATGAATTTAATGAATAAGGCTCAAACAGTCCAATGCAGGCGGCACGGCAGAGAGAATAGCACACAACTAATTTCCGGTAGCAACTGATAGAGGACTGAAAAACGAGAGCTGACGCTGACACAGGACTTAGCCAGTTCTACTGTGACGACTGACAGATTGACACTGACACAGACGACATAAGACGACAGTAGACGAGGACCCGACAAGAGACAACAGGTGGACTTAAATACACACCTGGGAACAATCAAGGGCTGACAGGACAACACAGATACTCACAAGGAACAGAAGCAAAAATAAACACAGAAAACCCAAATCCTCACAATATTGGCCAACAAAGGACATCCTTGTTTTTGACTTTATGAAATATTTTTAATATTATGCATATTCAACTTTGGCAATATTTTGTGTGGTTTTGTCTGCAGATTAAAAGCCGCCCCTGTCCTTTGCATTGTTCATCACTAGTTAAATGGCCTTCAAATTTACACTGTATGCTTATATACAATATATTGTAGATTTCTTCGATATAAATGTAGATTTTCCTCATGCTTTTGCAAAGCCTAGAGCAGAAATTTTAATAACAGAAAGCTCTTGAACAAAGATCTGACAGGTCATTGTATTCAGTGGCCTAATGGTTGGCACAGGTCAAAACACAAACTCTTGTCCTGCTCATGTTTCCTGTGTATGTGTGTGTGTGTGTGTGTGTGTGTGTGTGAGTATACAGTGTAAACCCGTCTCCCTCCCTCGCACTCTGTCAGTTGTCCAGCACACATGAGCGCCCACAGCCCCTGCTGCAGATGAAACTTGAAGAAGAGGCTGTAGAGAGTTAGCAGTTAAACTTTATCTCATCCAGACTCAGCAAATCCCCTCAGAGCTAAACTCCAGAACCACGACGGACCATAAAACACCACCAAGATGCTGCCGCTGCTGCTGCTCATCATCATCGCTGCACACAGTAAGTGACTCTGGGTAGGAAAAACTTGCGGACAGTCCTCACATTTTGAAACTAATGAGAGTAGTTTGAGGTTATCCTGTCTGCGCAGGATATGAAGTTTCATTTTTTAATATTGGACATTCATATATTGCTGTTTATATATATATATATATATATATATATATATATATATATATATATATATATATATATATATATATATATATATATATATATATA